AAAATAAATTGGCGGTTCAACGAACAGCTGGGTCGGGCCGATTCAGATGTAGTCGGACCGATTCCGCGTCCAACTATTGAGGCCCAGGATAGGGCTGCAAACGAGCCGAGCCGAGTCGAGCATTGACCTTATCGAGCAGGATTGATTTTTTTTTTTAGCTGCTCGAGCTCGAGCTCGACTTGAAATCAAAATGCTCGAGCTCGGCTTGAGTTCGGCTCGAAAATTTTTAAGTGAAATGGTAAAATTACCATTAAGAACCTATGCTAATATATATATATATATATAAAGGGGTATTTTAGTAATTTATATGTATCTCGAGTCGCTCGACAAAGCAAAATATGGGCTCGAGCTCGAGCTCGACTCGAGCTCAGTCAAACTCGAGCTCGAGTGGAGCTTTGACTTGAGCGGCTCGCGATCCGCTCGATTTGTTTGCAGCCCTAAGCCCAGCGACCCACTGGCCCGGGGCCGGGTCGTGAATCGACTCGTCTGATTGCCATGTCTAGGTTCCATTGTGTACTCACGCAAACATTAATTCGAAAATGAATAAATACAAATATGTTCCCACAAAGTTCTTATAAACTAGTACTTGATCATGTGAATATGTACATATATTTAAATTATTATAAGTTATGTATATAATCTTAAAATTATAAGTTAGACATAGTATCATATTAAAAACATATATAATTAGTAGAGATGTTAATCGGGTTAGCCCTAGCGGGCTTCGGGCTAAACGGTCCGGACTTAAAAACTCTGATTTAAACGGACTACCAATAAAAAGACATAACCCTAACCTTAGCGGGCCTCGGGCTAAACGGGCTAGGCGGGCTATAATAATAATAATAATAATAATAATATAGCAAAAAAAAAAGAATAAAAGAATATATAAAAAATTACAGCTGCTAGTCAACGTTTGTTTTCAACGGTTATTTAGTATTTACCACTATATATATACAATTACACATCATATATGAAAGCACATTACATACTTTTAAATAACATATTTCTCAAAAGAAAAAAAAAATATTCGAACTAATACTTACAATTATCATTTTACTACTTATTTTACATGCTTTGGGAATTTTCGCGATATATTATATCATTATAAATTCTATCACTATGTTTACTATGTTTCATGTGTTAGGTCTTTCTCGCATGTGTTTTCTATTAGTCGTTCTTATTGGCTTAAATATTTTGGTGTGAAGTACAATAACAATATTATTATTAATTATCTTTTAAAATCCTAATAATTCCGTTACAACTCATACTTACATGTGAAATGGAACATCAAAATTGTAATACACAAGGAATCTAAGAACATATTACTTACTTGCTGCAAATATTTACACCGGCCAACCCAAGTTAAAAGGGACAGCCCTAGCGGATTTTCGGCTAGCCCTAACGGGTTTCTGGCTAAACAGTCTGGGCCTATAAAGTCCTGATTTAAACGGACTACCAATAAAGGGCCATAACTCTGTTTATTTTCGGGCTAAACTGGTCGGGCCGTCGAGCCAAGTACTGTTTAACATTTCTAATGATTAGTAAAAATGAACATTATAAAAAATATTCAAACTTCATCTCTATTGATTGCATATTTGAATGTTATGAGTATGAATGATATGTTGAATTTAACACAAACATGATAGATAAATTTTGAAATTTGGTGAGATAAGTAATCGACTCTTTTGAAAATTTGGTCTAAAAGTGTGCGGAAGTGATCATTTGTTTTTTGATGGCAACGACGCTTTTAATTTAGCCCCTGTTTTTTAAATATTTTTGTATGCACGAGCTTAAAATCAAATATAAGTTTTGCATTACAACAAAATGATAAAATTTTAACGGAAAATTCCATTACAAATACATTGTAATGAAACTCCAACGGAAATTCCAACAAAAATATTTCATTCGAATGAGTTTTCCATTAGAATTCCGTTGGATTTTAGCGATTCCAACGGTAGATTTTTCAACGGATATGGAAATATAAATTTCAACGGAAATTCTTACGGTAAAAAATCGTTGGAGAAATAGTCGTTGAAATCATCAAATTCCAATGGAAAACTCATTCCAACGCAATATTTTCGTTGAAATTAATGAAAATTCCAACGGAATTTATACCATTGGAATATCGTTGGAATTTACATTAGAATATATTACCGTATGATTTTCCGTTAGAATATATAATAATTTTTTTGTAATGTTGTTTTTTATAAATTAAAATAAATGATAGTTTAAATTAAAGTAAAAATATAGAAGATATTTCGCATGTATGAGGCACTCACAATTTTTTTTTTTCTACAATATTAGGTTGATGTTAAAATTTTATTCAATCTAATAGGAGTATATATATCAGGTGTGTTGAGTGTACCTAATCCTAAAGTCCTAATAGGTTTCTCATATGTAACTTGTCAGTTATCAAGATATGAAGAAAAGTAAATTATGATAAAAAAAAATTATCACACGGATATTTTTCTAAAGCATTTATCTTGACCGCCATATATATTGATACCAAAATAAAATGCTTGCCAAAGAGGTATTTTCTGCCTTACAACAATATAATATTAACATATCGCGAAAGTATTTATTTTAAAAGACTAGACAAAAATTCTCCTAAAAGTTATTATATGCTTTACACTTGTTCAATCTTTTAATTCACTGCTCTCTTGATTATGATTTTAACTTGCCTTACAAGCCTGCCTTTATTCTGCCGCATGATGAGAGTGGTTTTCAACTGTCATGCAAAACATTGAATTCGAATTTCGAAGGGTGCTGACTTGCACGTAATTTATGAGATATATCGTAATATATATAACTATGTGATTAATTCAGCTGTATTATTGAATTTAATTTTTCCATTTATAAAGTATAAGAAAATGGAAGCATCTTCCTATTTCTTGGTCTTGTGACTAATATCAAAAACTAGTATTGAACAAAATATTCAATTCCAGTGAGCTGATTGATCGAGTAACTCATGTCTCTTCTTCCCATTAATTAAACTTAAAAAGCCACTTAATTAGGAAGTAGAAATTCTTCTCCCTATTAGTTAGAGGTTAATTGTACGAACCACTTTTTTTAATAATAATAAATGCGGAATAGAAGGGATGAAAATTGCTGATTAGTGGGACAATTAAAAATGCTGATGCAGAAAGGCCAATCTTCTCCGACTATATTTATGTGAAAAGTTCACATTTGAATTTGAAATGCTATAAAATGCTGACTCCGTCCCATCTCAGCGCCTCAGATTTTTAAGTTTTAATAATATTATCTTAAACGATTTTAATTAATTGTCATTTTTCCTGGTCCTGCCTTCTCGGTCAAATAAAGTTGATATCATTCGAAAGTATGTTACTTTTGAGTTTTGACTTAATAATCATATATAATTTAACATATACGATTACAGTAGAATTTATACTTATCAATAGTTATATACATTTCAATAAAAATATATATTTTCACTCTAACATTATACCTAATTTTTTAAATCATTGTTCAGATTATGTATTAAAACATGACATTTCATAAATCATAATACATAAATCATAAATGTATGATTTTTTGTTGAGAACGTACTTCAACTATTTAATTGGTACGTAAGCTCCTTTTAGTAGATAAGCCTCCACCGCAGAAGATATCCACGTAAAATTACAGTGTGGTTCATTTTTTATGTTCAAAATAATTGCATTGGAAATTTGCTTCTTTAGGTGTCCATTGAGATCATTTAGTTGAACTTTTAAGTGAACTTTTATGTGAAAAATAAAATTATAATAAATTATCATTATTTTTTAAATTTAATTGCTAACATAAAATAAATATTTTTAATTTTTATTGTTAAAATAAATAGAAATTGTTATGGCATGTGATTGTTAATAGATTGTACTTGAGACAATTTATAATGTGCGTCACACCATGTTAAAAATATAATGATAGTAATTTAATAATTATAATTGTTTTTTAATTTTTATTACTAACATAAAATAAATAGTAATTATTTTGGCACAAAGAGGTAATTGTTNGTTTATGTTTGCAAAGGGCTTAATTTACCTCATTTAATTTTTGGTTTATATTGTTTTTGTATTAATAAATTATTTTAATTGGTTCATCTATACAAATAATTTCTTATCAAATTGATGCATTAAAAAGACTAGTTTAATTCAAATTTCTAGTCTTTTAACATTATTACTATTTGCATTAACATTACATTCATTGATTGACATGTGTTAAAATTGTTTTTTTTTTTTTCAAAATCATAACATTGGAGATGCTCTAAGAGTAACTTTAACAATGGATTTTGCCCCAGGTTCACAAATCTACTCTTATAGGTTTTATTATTAAATGGATAAGGTTTGAGGTTTAAGGTTTTTTACATGGAGTTTGCAAATCCAAACCTCTCATAAACTTGTTGTGTGGCTCCACATTTGTAACAATCTTCCAAACTTTCTTTATTTTATTTTTATTTTTTGAATGAAAGTATAAGAATATAAAATTAAATAAAAGTAAATGAGAAACATATGAGACTCATAAAATAAAGAAGTTTATGAATTTTATTATTATTGGAGATTTATGTGTATAAGTATAAAAGAATGAGATTTTTGATGATGTGTCTGTTAAATAAGAAAAGAGATTTACGAGGAGTTACGGTTAAAGATTGATGGAGATGAGATCGCTCTCGCGTTCCTCGATAAATATGATCGGATGTCGTTGCTTAATTAATTATTTTATTATTTATTTCCTTATTATAATTAGATTTCCATATTTATGTTATTTAGAGTTAGGAAAATAATTATGTGGTTTTATCTTATTTAGCAAGTTAGGTTTGTGGGGAGTCTAAGATTATATATATCTGTATTCTCTTCAGTATCAGGGGGTGAATGAATTTGAGTTTTATGATATTGTGAGTTCTTCACGAGAGAGTATCTCGTATCTTTCCCGTTCTTATTCATGTTCTACATCAGTTGGTATCCAGAGACCAGCCACGATCCGTGCCGCCAAAGAAAACCAACAACGTGAACGACAACATCATTGAAGATCGATTTCAGAGGATGGACGATCGATGCACGAGCGTTTCACGGACTTGTCTGCGGGGGTCGAGGAAATTCGACTGGCTATGAGGACCATGATGGAGGAGGTGCGTATGAATCGCGACACCGACAACCGGGGCGCTTGCGGAGGGTTTCAAGGAGGCCGTGGTGGACGTGGTCATGCCGGGCCGCCGTCAACGTCACCCGCGACTCCGACCGGCGAGGAGGACGATGAAGACACCATCAGCGTCGACAACCCTTTCGCCCAGGAGCAGCGTCGCAGGCCCGATGATGATGTTCCATTTGCGCAGGGGAAGCATGTCGGAGGTCGCGACTTTCGAGGCTTCGGTGGAGGTGATCCTGGCCATCGTCTTCAGGGATAACAGCGAGGGGGTGATTTCTTTGAGGATGATGACGAGCCGATGGGCAGAGGTGATTTCCATCGCCGCCACTTAAGGTTTCGCGAGGACGATGGCTGGTGGTGGGCGGACGGTGATCAACGGCGACGCGACGGGCGGGGCTTCGGTCCCTACGGACAACAACGCCGCGACGGGCTGCAGCAGCGAGAATGGCCGGAATTTGCACAGGCCGATCAGCAGCTCCGCGGATGGTTCGACCACGGCGTTGGCCGAGGCCGCGAACCGCAACGACGTGATGTGCACAAGGTGGATGGCGGCAGTGAGTCGCGCGGGGATCTCGGGTTTCGGGTTAAGATTCCCGAGTTTTCGGGCAGAACTGATGCAGCGGAGTTCCTCGATTGGTGGGCTGCCATTGAGTCCGTCCTCAAGTTTAAGAAGGTCCCTGACGAACGACGTGTAGCGCTTGTTGCCACGCGATTCTGTGGACGGGCGGCGGCATGGTGGATGCAACTCACGAGTTTGCGACATCGCCAGGGAAAGCCAGAGATCTCTACTTGGATGTAGTTCCGTAAGTACGTGGAACGTGAATTTCTCCCTTTTAATTATGATCATGTGGTTTATCAACAGTTGCATAATTTGCGTCAAGGCCCGTATTCTGTTTCTGAGTATACGGAGGACTTTTATCGTCTCTTAACTCGTGTGGAGATACGTGAGTCGAAGGGCCAGTTAGTTGCTCGCTATGTGGGGGGTTTAAATATTGCTATACAGGATATGCTTAGTCTTGTTGTTCCGGAGTCGGTTTCGGATGCACATCAACGGGCCCTCATTGTGGAGAAACAGTTGGCTCGAAAGGCGGGTCTGACCAGTGGTGTTGCAGGTGCGGATTTGCATTCCGGGCGTGGGATACCAGCTTCGGGCATGCACTCGGGCTCAGGGCTGACAATGGGGCGTGGATCGACGACTAGCGGTGGGCTGCTGCGGTCGACTGGCGATGTGGGGACGGCGCCAACCGCGAGTATGCAGCGGGCTGGTGGCAGGTTTCGATGCTTTAGGTGCGGTGAGCTTGGGCATCGACAGGCGGCTTGTCCAAGAGGGATCGGGTCGTGTGCTTTGTTCGCCGAGGAGACAGCAGAATATTCGGCAGCTGCAGCATATGATGGCCCTCCTATTTTTGACAAAGAGTCCGAGGTTCCAGAGGTGCATGTCTCGGGAGACGTGGGACACGCGCTTGTCCTTCATCGCTCTCTTTTGTCCCCACCCGTCATTTCCACTGATGAGGGCCTGCGTCGACAGCTTTTCGAATCTACGCGCACCGTGGGCGACCGGGTGTGTCGTTTTGTTATTGATTCCGGGTCATGCGAGAACGTGATATCTGACGAGGCTGTGGCGAAGCTTGGATTATCGTCGGTGCTGCATCCGGATCCTCATGTTCTCGCGTGGATACGGCGTGATGACGTTGTCCCTGTTAACAGACGTGTGTTGGTTTCTTTCTCTATTGGCTCTGCATATAGGGATGAGGTGTGGTGCGATATCGTGCCTATGGATGATTAACACCTTTTATTAGGACGCCCGTGGCAGTTTGATCGTGCCGTGGTTCATGATGGGCGCCTTAATACGTATGGATTTCTGTTTGAGGGCAACCGCGTTGTCTTACATCCCTTGGCTCCCCGGTTAGTTCTTTTGCAACAGACGTCGCTGGCATTGTTTCTTTCTCGGGATGGGCCGCATGGAGACTTGGTTGGAGCCGTGGACACTCGTTCTGTGGTCTTCGACGTGGGCGATGACGGCTCAGATGGAGACGAGATCGATTTGGATTCGAGGGCGAATCCGTCTCAACTGGGGGAGGATGATGGAGATGAGATCGCTCTCGCGTTCCTCGATAAATATGATCGGATATCGTTGCTTAATTAATTATTTTATTACCTATTTCCTTATTATAATTAGATTTTCATATTTATGTTATTTAGAGTTAGGAAAATAATTATGTGGTTTTATCTTATTTAGCAAGTTAGGTTTGTGGAAGTCTAAGAATATATCTGTATTCTCTTAGTATAAAGGGGTGAATGAATTTGAGTTTTCTGATATTGTGAATTCCTGTTCTTATTTACGTTCTACACAAAAGATAGCTCCAAGCCAAGGCGTTACTCTTAAATCGGTTTCTTTCCCACCAAAAGTGTGCACGTAGTCAAAGCTTTTAACACGTTGTNAAAAACACGTGGTCATAATAACAAAACAAAATAAAATACCAATTCACAACTTAACGGTTAATTACAAATCAAATCATGAACTGGGAAACCAATCGATGATGGTAATCGCCCAATCCAACACAAGTCTGGCGATCCGACTCGCCTCCGCCGCCGCCATCCGCCAGCACAAACACCGCCTAATCTTTCTCCAGAACCGCTTCGTCCTCCCATCCGCCGCGTCTTTCCACCGCCTGACGCTCGGCGCCGCGAGCGCGAGAGCGTTCTCAACGAACGAGGCTCCGTCCCCCGACGTCCAGAAGCTTCCGAGAAAACCGTCGGTATGCACGGCCGACGAGCTCCACTATGTAACGGCCAAAAAATCCGACTGGCGGCTCGCGGTATGGCGCTACATTCCGCCGCCGCAGGTATTTGTTCTTATTATATGGGTAAATGATGGAGGTACTGTACTACTGTTAGCTTTTATGTGTGTGTTTCCGTTTACGTGATACGCGGTTCAGATTGAAATATTTTCTGTATGCAAATTGAGGGATTAAGATTAAAACAGACATTGTAGCCGTAGGAGATTTTGATACATTTTAACTGTGTAGATAAATGAAGTTAGAGAATCGTCTGTAAGTTGTTCTATTCATCTTCTGCGTGAAAGGGAAAAGAGTATTGCTTTTTTGTAGGAAAAAATTAAATTGGAAGTTTCTTTATTTGAAGCAGTCTCCCGCGAGAAATCATCCGCTTTTGCTGTTGTCTGGCGTGGGGACAAACGCCATTGCATATGATCTGTCTCCTGGGGTTAGTTTTCTTCTGTTCTACACATGAGCATCCAGTATAATTTTAAATTTGGGATTTCTTGGATAGAAGATACATAATCTTCTGGATACTTCTTGGCAGATTTGAAATTGTACTTGTGACAGTTTAATTGCTGGATTTTGTGACATATTATTGCTTTGGTTACAGAAAGATGTATTATTTCCTTTCTGGGGAGTAATATTTCATGCTTATATGTGAACTAATGGGCAGTTTTTACATGGATATGTTCTCATTTCAAATTGTGTGAAATGGAATTATCTGTGATCGGATGTTCGGATGATCTAATTTTGTGAGTGTAAAATATGCGGAATCAAAATACACATTGATAGTCTAAGATCAACTTTGAACTAATACCTAACTTACTGATTACATTTGAAATATCTGTTCTATTTCATCGATTGCATGTTTGAACTTGTATATACTGTTATACTAGAGCTTTATCCCTATTATCTTCTCTTGAAAAATGAAAAGTTAAAACAGAAGCCACACAAACACAACAGTAAAGTAACTAACTAGAATTTATGTATTCTATAAAACACTCTTGCAGTCTTCTTTTGCCCGTTATATGTGTGGCCAAGGATTTGACACTTGGGTTCTAGAAGTCCGAGGTGCTGGGTTGAGCATGCAAGGCTTGGATTGTAAAGTAGTTGAGGAGTCAGCTCATACAAAATCTGAACAAATGGAAGTTGCTGCAGAAAAAATGACCGAGGGCGCCTTGCCTGCAAACCAGCAGCCATCCACAGTCTCGAGCAATTCAGATCATCCGGAGATAGCTGTGGTCAATGATGAACAAACTGGAGTTGCAATAGCAAGGGATGAATCAAAACTCGTGTCAGAGTTTTCGGAAACTTTTACACGCTTGTCAGAGAGACTTTCTGGTTTTCTTAGTGAAAGTCAGTCAAAGATTATGTCGGCCAAATTTTTCGATCAAATATCAAACCTCTTTGAAGATTCGTTTTTACTCGGACGCTTTAGAGAGATAAAGGAAAAAGTTCTAAATTTGCGGGACACTAAGCAAAACTTTGGTGTATCTGGCCAGATAAAGGAACTAAGTCAAAAGCTGGTTGATATCATTGATGAAGGTCAGCGTTCTGTGACACCCCAACTTTTTGATCTGCAAGAGCGCCTACTCGTGACAATAGATGATTTCCAGAAACAATTGGACTTTATTGTCAAATATGATTGGGACTTCGACAATTATTTGGAAGAGGACATTCCTGCTGTGGTGAGGTGACACTTCTCTTTGGTGTTGGCCATGCATTGTGCTAATATTTAACTTTTTATCAAAAGCAGAAATCTTGAAACTTTTGATCTTGTATTGAGGTACTATCTTTCTCTTTACATTAGTAGTCTGTGATTATTCTGTTTCTCATTTCGTAGATGGAATATATACGGGCTCAGAGCAAACCAAAGGATGGTCGGTTACTCGCAATTGGTCACTCCATGGGTGGTATTTTACTATATGCGATGGTATCGCGATACAGTAAGTTCAGCTAACTGTTCTGTGGATGATGTTGACTTGTAGCAAACAATAACTGTTACGATTGAAAACTGGTTTTGCTTCTTCATTCTCTTTTTTCCACTATCTTAAACTTCTCGGTCAGGCACTTTTTTGAGAGATTATTTACATTCAGCAGGACAAATGGTCCTCTATGCTTCAGATCTATAAGTTACTGAGTTTCATTTCATCTGTAGATGACTTCTGTGGTACCAACTCATTAGCAGCTGGTCATTATACTCTGCCGTTCCATATCATTTTTTAATCTAAATATCATGTGTTTTTATTGAGGTCTGATTTGGATGGATTAGCTATTTAATATTAAACATTGAAGGCCATATAATCTTTATTTACAATCATGGTCCTTAAAAGGTTCCGAAGGTAGAGATCCGGGATTAGCCGCTATCGGTACATTGGCTTCTTCACTTGACTACACCACATCTAAGTCAACACTCAAACTGCTTCTTCCCCTAGTATGTACCAGTACTCTATACCTAGCTTCTTTTAGATTGAATTGAATCTTTCCTTATCCCTATGTAGGATCATAATACAATGTTTTCGTCTCACAGGCTGACCCTGCTCAGTTTCTTAATGTACCTGCTATTCCTTTAGGAGCATTGCTGTCTGCAGCTTATCCTCTCTCTTCTCATCCCCCTTATGTCTTGTCATGGATGAATGACCTTATATCAGCACAGGATATGATGCACCCCGAGTTGTTGAAGAAGCTGATCCTAAATAGTTTTTGTAAGTCAAGAGTGTATTGTACTTCTTCTCAGTTACTACATTCTCTATGTTAAGCTCTGGTATAGTCCAGGTAAGACATGTTAGTGGTTATTAGTTTAATATCAAATTGCAGACTTTGCAGTTTGCCAATATCTGAGTTTCTTTGTTTTTTCCTGTCTCTAATCAGGAATTTAACATAGCACTACCTATATATATATATAGGTAGTGCTATGTTAAATTTCTATATATAATATATAAATACCCCAAAATAAAATTTCTATNCGAGAAAGAGGGGAGATAGATACAGCTTATATATATATATATATATAATATATATATAGAAATTTTATTTTGGGGTATTTATGAGCAAAAATGCTAATGAGCAGTGGTCTTGCCTTGGTGTGCTTGTCATTTTCTTTTATGTCACTTAGTTGAAGAGTGGGGGGAATTGGATGGAAGAGGATTTGAGAGGAGGGTATATAACGACTCCATATAATATGGATTTTGGGATGCTCAAAATGACTCGAAAATAACTTACTACAACAACAACAACATACCCAGTATATTCCCAACAGGTTGGGGTCTGGGGGGTCAGTTGTACGCAGACCTTACCCTTGTAATTATACAAGGAGGCTGTTTCCGTAGCGACCCAAGGTGCATTGCGCCGTTTGATATATTTTTTTTTCTAGAAACTTCACTAATAGAAGAAGCACTAGAATTTAATTGAGTCATTTTGATCTAGTCCATTGTTAGCACTATGCCAGGAGAATTGTCAACAATGACTCTTCCAGCTCCATTTGCAATGGACAAATCGAAAATAACTTACTAAGACTTGAAATTCATTCTGTCATGAGCTTTCCTGAACAAAGCTATAAATAATTTTTGTTAAGGATTTCTCATGCTTCAATTGCATGGGTGGGTTTGAAATCACTAATTACTCATCTTGATTTCAAATCTTAAGTTCCCTGTTTGAGCCATTCTTTTTTTATTATTGTATTAGATGTCAGATTTTGTATTAGATGGATCCATTTGAAATTCTCCTATGTCAAATCCACATTTCTCTACCAAGATGTCTCTGAGATGATTAATTACGAATTAACGATGGGTAATACCAAATATTTCAACTTCATCATGAGTTTTAGTTACTTCTGTCAGGTACTATCCCTGCTAAACTACTATTACAGCTTACATCTGCCTTTCGGGAAGGCGGACTTCAAAACAGAAGTGGTACATTCTCTTACAAAGATCATATTCATAAGAGCAGTGTTCCCATCTTAGCCCTGGCAGGGGATCGGGATTTAATTTGTCCACCTGAAGCCGTATATGGTTTGTTTTCTTCTCCTGCTTCAACTAACATACTTTCCGAACTCCCTAACATTTATAGCAGGTTCTTATTTATCTCTTATCCAAATTGTGTCGAGCAGAAACTGTGAAGCTCATTCCTGAGCATTTGGTCACGTATAAAGTTTTTGGTGAACCTAATGGTGCTCATTTTGCCCATTACGACTTGGTGGGAGGACGTATGGTAAGTATGCAATTTCACGTTTTTTTTTCTTGGTTAAGAGTATTTATTTATGAAAATGTTACTAAGACTTGATGGCTCAAATAATGTGTGGCAGGCCGTGGAACAAATATATCCTTGTATTATCCAATTTCTAAGCCGTCATGACTCAGATCAATAATCAGTGGATTTTGATATTGCTGCTTACTACAACTATCTCGAGGTATAGATCTATTACACAAATTTAAAAAAAAAAACCCTTGAGGCTTGGCGCAGTAATTAAACTACGAACAAATGTGAAGAGGATTGTATGTTTGGAAGATTGATTGTTCATTCTTTTCTCTCTTTTCCTTGGTAATTATGCTATGGTTTTGCAATTAATCTAAATATTTATAATCATTCTTGTGATGTTTACTATGCCGTGATGTCGGGTGTACTTGATGACTAATTAGCAACATTTTTTCTCGGATACACATGATGAAATTCAAATTGGCCATCTGGACATGACTTACTCGGAAGCCATACTTAGAGGATTAAAATTCCAGCTTTTGATTGTGATGTTTGATTACTAGTTAGCAACATTTTCTCATATACACATGGTGGAATTCACATTGGGCATCTCTATAGGACTTACTCGGAAGCTATACCTAGAGGATTAAAATTGTATTTTATTACGAAATAATTACTCAAGCTCTCGAGTTCAGTTGTGAGGCTTGGAGAAAATAAATAATTTTTAAAAAAAAAAAAAAAAAAAAAAGNAATAAAATTATCGTCAAATGTCCTATTTTTGTATTTTAAAGTATGCTATTAAGAATTCAGTATCAAAAGACTGTCTGTTAACAGAAGAACTGTGGGTGTCCTTGTAGTATTTCTGTAAAGGGTAAGAGTGACATAAAAATTAGATAATTATATTTTTTCAATAGATAATATACATTTAAATAAAAATATTATAATAAACAAAAGTAGTACACATCATAATATAAGTATTATTTTTTGTTAAAAAAAGTATGATAGGTCGACCAGTCTAATGACTAGGTTAGGTCATTAATTCTGTTAAGTATATTCTATTGAATTCTCTTTTTTCTTTGTTTTCTCTATTTTTTCTCTTTCTCATTAAAAACTTATAAAGTGTAATTGGACAAATGAAATAACATAAATGTAATCCCTCTTTAATATAATTTTAAAAATGGCTGGTTCGCACGCTTCGAAACCTTACTTGGCAAGATTACATGCTTAAACTGCTTATTTGGCAAGATTACATGCTTAGACTTTTGGTTAAAATAAAAATTAATCAAATTATATACCAAAATGAATATGAAGAGTTTGATTCTTATCAAATATCCCACGTAATAAGATAAAGGCAAAAGTCAACCTATTAATTTCTTTTTAAAATAAAATTCCAAGACATTCATAAGTATAAACGTCCATAATTAAAGGATTTCTTATAGGATTTGTCAACATGTTAATAGGATTTCTTATATAATACGATTTTATCTTTACAAGTGGGAACATAATTACTCTAATTAATTAATTAATGAAAACGTTCATAGATTAATTGATCAAAGACTAGAAAATTATTTTATTAATTTGACCATAACTTCTAGCTTGAATAAGCAAATTTAACATTGTGCGATTAAACATGCACATATATATGTATATTGAAAAGAGTGTTGTTATGTTGTATTGCGTAGAAATTTTATGGTAATCTAATTTGGTGAAGTGCGATAATGTGATGTCCGTGTATGCTTACTGTTCAATGTTTGTATGGGATTTCGACTAAAATTGGATCAAATATTTCAAAAAATTAAAGTGTTAAAAAAATAATACAAATATGTGTATATTAGAATTTATAAATTAAAAACGTTCTTGTGGGATTTCGACTAAAATTGGATCAAATATTTCAAAAAATTAAAGTGTTAAAAAAATAATACAAATATGTGTATATTAGAATTTATAAATTAAAAACGTTCTTGTCGCTATTATAACCGTTTAAATTTAATAATCGTGTTTAATCCCCACTACTGATTTTTTTAATGCAATAAAATGTTCTGTAATTTCTAATCACATCTTAAAATTAAAAGTTGGTATTCTTGTAATGCTGATTCGAAACATGAATCAATCTTCTGGGTTGTGAAATGGCACCAGGTGAGTGATTACTCGACCGTTCTATTATTTTTTTTTTTGACATTTATACATTCCTAAATCTTAACTAATTTATTACTATCATTATTTTAATGTTTTTATTTTTTAATTAGAAAGAAGAACTGATAAATTTAATATATAATATATGAGTTGTGTAATTACACCAGGTTAGTCACCACTCGATTTGCAGATCGCATTGTGAATATTGGGAGCAAAATCCTTATTCCGCATTTATTTTATTGTCTAACGTCGGATTTTACTTGCTTAACCCTCTATTCAATCATGGTCAACTTTATGTTGCATTATCTAGAGTTAAAAGTAGAAGAGACTTGAAAATTCTGTATTACGATAAAGATGGAAAAATTGTAAACAAAACTATTAATGTTGTGTACAAATAATTTTTTCAAAAATTGAAATAATATCAACTTTAGTATTTTCTATTTTTGCACTTTTATATGACAACATGTATTTTTTTATTTTATGTTTTATATTTTTTTTTCCAAACAACCGTGTAGTACACGGTGTCGTACTAGTATAATAAGAAATGATAATATGAGTATAAATTTATGAAAAAAAGTGTATACTAATAATTAAATTCTTTTTTCTGAAAATTTTGAAGTGCATTATTTAAAAAATGAAAAAAAGAACACCTTTAAGTTTTGAAGTGCATTTATTTATGCTTGAGAAGGTAAGATTCGATTGGTGAGAATTTTTTTTCCCCTTCTACCCGTAATTTTCGAAAACATTATAATTATTTGAAGAAATAATTATTTAATTAATTTGTAATTCATAATTTTATAAAATTTTTAATTTTTACAGTTGCACCAACTAAACTGAACTTGCCCTGTTTGAAAATTGCGGTTGCACCATTGGATATGGGCCACTGCCTTAACTGGGCTAACAAGTTGTAGACTGGATTGGGCAGGGGCCGCGCGAACGCAGGCCCCCACTACCACAAATTATGACGTAGGCTCGACCACTTGGGCCGACCTTAGACGGGCGCCCCTCCCAAGTGCAATGGAGGTCGCCAATCTAGGCCATGGGCCTTATTGATCACCCATTGACCCCGTCCAGGTAAGTAAGTAATAAGAAGACGCCACGGCCCATTTTATAGTTACTTACCCACTGCCTTCATCTTCGTGCACCGATGTGGGACAACAATAAGAGCACTCTAATATTTCTTTCATCCTTCTCGCTGCTAAATATATTGAAATACTTGAAACAGCTTCTTATAAAAAATGAAAACAATAAATTATATGAAATGTTATGACAGGAAAACATACATATTTACAGAGAGACAAAAATCGGTCGACTGTGGATTATTTTCTCAATTAAGTTAAATGGGAACATTATGATGGGAAGATTAACCACCAATACATTGAAATTACGCACATGATAAATTATAAGTCACGATTTGGCCATTGCATTAGATAAGTAAATCATACTTAGCATTCTCTATGCGTCCATGCACACTCACGACAAAGTAACTAAAAAAGAAAAGGGGTGCAGTTACTTGCTTCATTAGTTTTTATTTTAACTGTATGTAAGTTTCTTAGAAAGAAAATTTTAATAAATATGCATTGTGTAGACGACGGTATCAATATGTTTTGAGGTGATCAAGGATGGAACGTGTCAAGAGGAGGACGGAGCAGGGTTGACCTCCATAGAAGAAGAGGTCGATGGAGTAAATTGGGGGTTCGAGGTCGCAAAAGTTGATGGGACGCTCATATCGCAGCCAGAGATTCGATCGGCCTCACTGGAGGTGGCAGAATCTGAAAAAGGGACAAAAAGAAAATAAAGCGGAGGAAGATTTAGAAAAGGGAGAATGTGGCGGAAAGCATTGGTGTTGTGGAGAGAAGGTAAATAGAAAAATTAGCGGAAAAAAAAGTAGATCAAACATGCAAAATTCAACAAAAATAGGAAAGAGAAGAGAACTTACTAATCATGGTTGTTGATGTCGGTGGTGGAAATACAAACTTCAGTAGTTAGCGATGAAGCAAAGGGCAAGTATTCTAGATGACAAACTTCGTAGAAAACAGAGAGAGAGAGAGAGAGAAAGAGAAAAGGCGTATACTTAAAAAAATTTCGTAGAGGTGAAAAACCTAAGAAAGACAGTCAGAGGGTCTTGTTATACGAGGAAGGAGATGAAAGACCAAGAGGTTGATCGATCTCGGCCGTAGGATCAAGATTAGATTCAACGACCCAGATCAAAAACAAAAGGTGAAAAGATAAGTCAAATTTGGTCGTAGGATTAAAGAGAAAAAGATGGATGTTATTAACGCGACATTAATGAGGTGAACTGCACAAGGACAACACGAACTGCGAAGCGTTAGACGATGGGACGCTTGGACTGGGCTCGGCACGTGGCGATAAGACAGTTGGACAGGACAGGCGCAGACGCGTGGCAAGTATTTAAAATTCAAAATTAAAAAAGAAAAACCTGGCAAAAGACCGAGCAAAGACGCGACAATGACTTAAAAACAAGTAAAGAGGTCGAAAATATAAGAAAGAAATCAATATGCTAGAATCAAAGGCAACCAATTTCACTCTTGGATCGAGTCATCTTAACTTGATCAGAGTGGGGGAGGGGGGACCAGATGATATGAGATAACTATACTAGAGCGACTAGACCTAGAAAATAGCAAAACCGAACTGGATGAACTATTAGGTCGAATGGATGATGAAGACTTCACAGGTCAAAGGATCCTTAGATCGAAGAGGACGACAAGGATACGGAGAACACCAGCAGGTCGAATTAGGGCCCTTGGATGGCCTGATAGAAGTTCGACCTGAAGGGGCATCTGGTTGAATGATCGACCAGACTGGCAGAGCAGCATAGCTCGATAACAATGACACTTTACCTCGAGGTAATCGGGGTCGATCGCAAGGTTAGACCGTCCAATGAGAAAAACTAAAGGATAAGAAGGAATATTATGAGGATTAAACCCCCACATGGATAGGGCCACGTGGCCTAATAGAACATGACAGTTTGGGCAGTACGAACGAGTAGTCTGGGCAGTCCACTCGTGCATGCTTGAGCAACAAGGTATCATCTTGCTATATAAGAGAGTGAGATATACCCAATATTACATTACATTATCTACATACATTTTTCATACTGCACTTCATTTTCTACAAGTGTTAACTTAAGCATCAGAGACTCTTCACCGGAAAATCCCTCCGGTGTGAGAATTTTTACAGGTCCGAAGGCGTTCAACCAGCGAGGAGCTTGAGATCAAGTCGAATCCAGCGGATTGAAGGTCTTTTATGCACCAGACATGGTGAGCTAAGTTGGCCTTAGTGGCCAATTTAGATTGATAGAAAATATTCAACAATTTTGCTTCTTGTGTAGTTCATTATTATATTGACACTGTGTTGGTTGTCTATATTTTCTTATTCTTAAATTATTCTCTTTTATTTTTAGGTTTTTTTGTAATGACAGGATTGATTGAAAAAAATGACAAATAATTAGAAACTAGTTGTTTGGTAGGAGTTAAATGAGAACTTCAATCAGAAATTTATGAGATCATATATCGTGTCCTGTATTTTAAATTCACATTGAAGTGTTGCAAAATTGGGACCAGGAGACTGAGTTTGTTTCTTTTATTTTTTATTTTGAACAAGAGAAGAATGATATATACGAAAGAGAATGAAAAGGCAAAAAACAAAATAGTTAGAGCAGCAGTTATAATGCTATAACTTAGTAACTTTCTATTTCTACCTTAATGTATTTCCCGGAATATTAGTATCATATGGCATAATTAATTTTTTTTTGAGGATCAATAATTAATTTTGCTTAAAATTTCAAACTCGAGATGAATTAAGGTTTGACTAACTACAGCTTGACACAAATCCCCATCACTATTACACTTATTATGAAGTTGAAAATTTGCAAAGGGAAAATAATTTTGGATTCACCTTAATCACACGTATGATTACAAATTATTTTCTCAAATTGAGTATAATGATAGCCATAATAAACAAAAATATAACAAAGAGATGTCATTCAAATATTCTTTTTTTGACCTCCAAACACAATGATGATAATTGATTAAAGTTATTTACATAAAAATTATCATAAAAATTTTCAAGTGTAAATACTAAATAGTGTGGACTTATGTTTAACTATTATAATGTGGAAAAACAAATGGCATATCATTTTAGGATGAAAAAATTCATACATAAAACTTGGCAAATGTGAAATGCCTCAAAATTCATAAGTAGTTTGGTGAAAAGAACGAACATTTTGTCTTTTTGACGTTCAAGATTTTCCCTCCAAAATTTGTGCATTGATTGACGGACCACGTTGACCTGAAAGGCGGAAACTATAGAGATGGAGAAATGTAAACTCATTTTTTTTACGTGCCATGTGAGAAATACACAAAACAATAATAATAAAAATAAATCTCGAGACGAATTTTTGATACGCTAAAAGTCACGCGATGGACCAATTTATCGGCATTCAATAATAAGAATTATGATCAACAAAGAATTTGATGTATTTAACGTAATATTATCTCAACTAAATATTACAGGCATAAGCATTTTTATGCTTAAATCCACCTGTCATTAATTTTGAAGAACAAGAGCCAAAAAATGATTATCGAAAAAAAAAAAATGTCTTTTATCGTATACCATGAATGATACACCACAAAGTTGTATTTATCTAAAATTGTTCAACGAAACCAGCCACTAATATGCAGTGACATATCTAAGAATTTCACCTGAAGGGACCCAATAATCTGATGAAGAAATATTATTATTTTTACTATAACTTCAATAATCTGATAAAATCTATGGAAACCCAAAAATAATTCAAAGAATAAATAACACATATTAAATACAACAAATTCATCCCTAAATATTAATTAAATAATAATCCTCACCCTCAACATGAAACACTGATGACTAACTTAAACTCAGTGATCATCATCATCATCTCTACAAAGCAACCAAATTCCAACAAATCTTTTCTCTTCCTCTGTTTGAGAGAGGTTACATTTACAGAGACAAAAGCTCCTCAGAAAACAAAACAAATTAATAACACAAAACCTACACATCAAAACCTTCTTNCCACCTTAACTATCTTCACTCTTTAGTTCCTTTACATTTAAAAAAAAAAAATCATCCAAATTTCAAAAAACTCTCACTCGTACAACATTCGTACTCTGTCGAGCGCGTCACGCACGTGCCTCATAATGGGCCTCCTCTCGGGCCCGACCTGCACGCACGCCATCGCGATCTTCAAAACCCCCATCATCTCCCCTTCTCTCCCCTCCTCTTCTCGGGCCGCAAGGCCCGCATCCAAAACCTCCGAAACGGGCCTCCTCTCCTCAACACACAACTCAATCCACCTAACAAGTTCCATCTCCGAGCCCGAAACCTGCACCACAGGCAGCCTTCCCGTCAGCATCTCGAGCAAAATAAGCCCAAACGAGTAAACGTCCCATTTCTGAGAAGGCTTCGCGGCCTGTGGGGCCTCTGGCGCCAGGTAGGACGAGCCAAACGAGCCCGAAGAGGAGAGCATGTGGCCCGGCTCAATGGATTGGGCTGTTTCGAAAGTTGATGCAGTGCGGCCCGAGAGGTTTGTGGGTGAGCCACTTGTGGGCCCGGTGATGGTGGCGAGACGGGCCAGGCCGAAGTCAGAGATGACGGGCTCGAGATCGGGCCTGAGGAGGATGTTGGATGGGCTGAGGTTGCCGTGGACGTATTTTTTGGGGCTGTAGTCGTGGATGAAGGCGAGGCCTCGGGCGATGCCTCGCATGATCTTGAGACGAGCGTCCCATGGGAGAGGGTTGAATGTGACGAGGCCCGGTTTTCCTGGGGGTGAAATGATAAATATGATATTCTAAATAGGGGTGATATATGTTATAATAAGAGGAATTTGAAAAAAAGGGAGGTAAAAAACAACAAACTATAGCGAAGATTCGAAAAATGGATGTTATTCTAATGAAATTTGGATTACATGGTTTGTGGGATTTCACCTCTTGAAATGGTGAAAGATAATCGATGTTAATGTACGTCGAAGATGGCTCATATCGAATTTAGACATGCGGAAAAAAAAAAAATTAGGAGAAAGTTTTCGAGTTTTGCAGGTAATGCACAAGCCTCAAGCTTGTTTCACTGCAAAAGAGTAATTATCACTCAAAGATATTATCAAGACATTAATTGATTTAGATTCCATCATAATTAATTAATGTTTTCATCTTTGAATGCACCAGCTGAGAAAATATTGTGTAAAACAATTAAGTTATTAAACAGGATATTTAGGAGAAGTTTTCAAGTTTTGCAGGTAATGCACAAGCCTCAAGCTAAGTTTCACTGCAAATTATAATTTGTTAGATTCCATATCATAAATAATTAATGTTTCTAGAAAATATTTTGTGAAACAAATAAGTTATGAAACAGGATATTTATAAAATCGCAAGGACCCCAAGTCATACTTCACAACAAAAAATCGAATCTTTCTACAATAGAATCATGGCTAGCTTTTGTAACTAATACCCAAATGTTGCTTATGGAACTCACCATGGATGGCGGTAGCAAGATTGCAATTCGGCACGAACTCATATATGAGCAGCTTCTCCTCCACCGACCAATAATAAGCTCTGAGACTCACAATATTCCTATGCCTAACCTTCCCAATGGCTTCTACTTCGGCCTGAAACTCCTTAAACCTTTGCGAACCTCCTTCTCCCAATCTTCTAACTGCCAAGGTCTGCCCGTCCTCGAGGACAACCTTGTACAAAATCCCTATTCCGCTTTTACCAAGAACAAATGCAGACGCTTTCAGGAGCTCGTCTAGATCAAATGCCACCTGTCCATCTAACGGCACTAGATCAAAATACTCGGCATTTTCCGATAACGGCCCCGAATCGTCACTTCTGAAACATGGACACTCTTTCCTCTTGCCTTTACCCTTATTCTCATAACCATAAGCGTTTTCGTGTTTTCTTCTTTTGAAAAAGCAAATTCTCGAATAGCAGTAGGAAAAAAGCAAACCGATAATGCAAATCCCGACCAGATCACAAACTATAATAACAGTTATAGTGGATTTACTCATTCGGTGCCCGCTGGCATTTGTTCTGCCTTCGGGAGGGGAATCTTTGGGCAAGTAAGGCAAAAGAGGACTAAAGCTCGACTGGCTACTGGAAGAACATAACTTCTTCAATGGAGGGCCACAGAGATCGGCATTCCCAATAAAGGCGGTGGGCCCTCGATTTATAAGAGCGCCATTTTGGGGAATGGGCCCGCTTAATTTATTGTAAGTGAGATCGATATAAACTTGGACAGGAAGATTACCGAGATTAGCCGGGATTGAACCGTTGAACATATTATGAGATAGATCAAGAGTTCCTTGCAAACTAGACAGACTACCCAAGCCATCTGGAATAGAACCACTAATCTCATTGTGTGAAAGATCTAGCTTTTCTAACGAACCAAAATCTTTACCAAAATCATCAGGCAAAGGCCCACTAAGACTATTATGGCTCAAATCAAGATTCCTAAGCCTTTTGCACTGAATTAACGATGTGGGCAGAGACCCATTGAGTAAATTATGCGATAAATCTAGAGTTTGCAGGAATTGAAGATTCCCAAGATCAGATGGCACATGCCCAGATAGTAAATTCCCATAAAGCACCAAACTTTGCAAATCCTGCAGCTTAAAAAGCTCTGGAGGCAAAACCCCATACAACCTATTGCTCCTTAAATTCACATGCCTGAGCTGAGATAAAGATCCAAGTGAAGGAGATAGAAACCCATTCATTTTGTTGTTGGGGATGCTGATTGAGACCACTTTTTGCTGTTTGCATGTAATCCCATTCCAATCACAAGGGGTTTCATCTGAAACGTTCCAGTCGCTGAGTGACCCAACTGGGTCTTCATTAATGGAGCTCTTGAATCTTAACAGAGCTTTTCCCTCATCGTTCAAAGAACTCACAGACAGAATATTGAACAAAATTAAAACTAAAAAAGGGCTTGAAGATAGCAACATTATTCTTTTGTTTTTTTTTTTGNTTTTCTGCTTTCAGGGGAAAATCAAAGGAGCAAGAGATGAAATGCAGCCAAGAAATATTGATGAAAAGTTACCGTTGTTCCGCCAACAAAGAAAAGCTCATCTGAGAAACAGGTTTGCTGCAGTGTTCTTGCCTTCATAGGTATCAGAAGATTGAGAATGAAAGAGGGAGTGTAGACAAGGTACACTGTAGTGTTGCTTTTATCAATCTCATGCTAGAAAGTTAATAGGAAAATGGGAATTGGAAAGATTCTTTTATATCGTATCGTTACAACTTATCGCGATACGTTGTTTCTAAAAAGTTAGGCGTTGGGGCGCGTATTTTATTTTATTTATCGCTAATAGTCTTTTATTTAATTTACAACTTTTAAACATTTTTTCTCAGGATGCTAATTATTGCACGACCAATGAATAACGTTAGAAATTGCCCTACCGGGCTAAAAAATATTCTACGAAAATTATTGCGGATTATATTTAACTCTATCATATTATTTAAGGAAAAATTATATCTATATTTTGAGAATATAATAATTTTAATCATGTTAATTTAATAATTAAGTCAGTCGAATAACCTTACGAAAACATATTTAGAAATGAAAACTATTATGCAATCTAATGATATCAAGAGCAAATATAATTATCAGTCTGACAGGATAAGGTATGTCAAGATTATGAATCTAAATTAGATATAGTATGCATTTGCAATCAAATGTTTGATTGGTTAATACCAAGGTTCTCAAAATCGACCAGGACACCGTTTTGGTTTGATGCATAGAATAGTTAGGGCGCAAAACCAGAATTTTGGTTTGATGCATAGAACAGTTAGGGCTCTTGCATAGAATAGTTAAGGCTCAAAATCAGAGTTTTGATTTGATGCATAGAATTAGAGCTCAAAACTAGATAAAAACCTTATAAACCGGTAAAACCACGATTTGGTTTGAGGAATAGAACCTAAACCGGTAAAACCACGATTTGGTTTGAGGCATAGAACCGTCGGGGCTAAAAAAGAATCGGATAAAAACCTTATACACCGGTTACAATTAGTTAAACCATCCAAACCAATAACGGTTTATCCAGGTGAGCGGTCTAGTACTCAAACTCGCAAAGTGGTAGCTATAAAGTCAGTTAAATAGTTTGATTGTTTTGTTTGTATTTTTGATGTGGGTCTTCATTATTAAAGAGTTGCTTAACTTATTGGGCCATTATAGGTGGGCCTTATAAATCATTTTTGCTGGGCCGAACAAATCTGTATTTGAAATTTTGAATAGCTTTGAATTCTGATCATGTACTCAATTGAAGCCAGACAAAAAACTAATTGATTTGATAGTTTTTAAAGGACATTCAAAATTAGGATAGTTTTAGAGACTAATTTTTTCTTATTGGCCTCACTAATCACATTAATTTTTATGAAAAAAATATTACGTATTAATATTTTAATATCATGGTAGCTAAATAATTAGACTATGGACAATCCTTTATTTATTTTTTCCTTTATTTATTTAGAAAAATATCTTTATACACTATAAAAATATTGATAAACATTGTACAATTATATATTATACATATAAAATAAATAAAAATTATATATTAATTAAACCGGTTCGACCACTAATCCGACCAGTGAATCATTGAACCGGTAGCTTCACCGGTTTGGTTTTCAGAACCTTGGTTAATACACTTCAAACGATTTGCTATTACATCCATACTAGTGCATATCCCGTACGATGCACGGAAGCATACATTTCCATATGCCTTGTCCGTTTAGACATAAAAAACAATAGTGTTCGATCATTCATTTTCACCCTTTTAGTCACTGATGTTTATTTTAGCCAGAATGTCAATATGTTAATTGATATATTATTCCACTAAAACGTTTATACTAATATGAATTTGATTTTAGGATATATATCTATCCATTGATATAAGAAAAAGTAAGAATAACGATATTCTGGATGATCTTTTAACCAACACTCCTTGCAAAATAGCTGATATTCTGCTCTTCAGATCTTCTGTCCCATTCTTGCTTAGAAACAATGACGATTTATGCAAGTTTACTTTCTGGCCTGTAAATTTCTGATATTTGTGCAAAATGCTCAACAGCTCCTCTGCATGATTTTCATCTATTTGCAAAAAACAAGTGCATCGTCAGCAAATAGCAAATGTGATATCATTGGACCATCCCTGGCAATCTTGATCCCCATAAATAGTCCTGTGCTGATTTTGAATTGCAAATAAGAAGAGAATATTTTCGATACCAGAATAAGGTCACCCTGTCTAATCCCTCTGGATGAAGTCACATAACCACTAACCCTGCCATTCAAGTTGAATGCAAAATGTAAGGAGACGTTGGACTCAACATTTTCTCGATATTACATAATTAGTGAAGTAGGATAAGATTACACCTTGAAACTATCTTTATTTAGACACACTAGATAGTTTGTTGAACATGTGGTGTGTTAAATTATTTGTCACTTAGTATTGGTATTGTTGTCTGTTTGTGAAGTTTAACTATACTTTTGTGAAGTTGAACTATACTGGTTTGTTGGCATTGAGGTAATGTGGTAAATATATTTATTGGTTGTTTATTTATTTATTTATTTTTTGTTATTTGTTAGTTGTTATGGTATAAAGTTTTTTTCCAAATATACAGGTGAAAAATAAAATAAAATGTTGCACCTCCTTTTTATAACAGGTATTTTGTACGATTTAGAAAGTGTGTATTTAATATCGATTCAAAACTATAATGGGTCTTCATTAAAACTTTATAAACTACAATACGTTTATAATGGGTCTTTGTTATCCCGTTATAAATTATAGTATAAATAAAGAGGAAATGGCTATTTTCACCTCGTTCTGAAAATGAATAAGTTTTTCACATTGCTGGATAAAAAATTAACTTTTTACCCCAGAAAATGCGAAAGTATTATGCACTAATTATGCGATCATTTCCGATTGTTACAAATGTGAAGGCATTCGCTATGTGACCTTCGCATTTTTTGAGGTGAGAAAGTTAGATTGTTATTTAGCGGGGTGAAAAATTTAATGTAATCTTCAATTCAGGGAGCAAAAGAAATTTTCCTATAAACAAAAGCATGTTTATAACGGGACTGCTCTTTTATAACGACGATTCTATATTAACCCATTATAACGACAAACTTTTGATAACGGTTTTTTGTTAAAGCGTTGTAAAAGAGAGTATATTTGTAACGGGTTTATGTTTTCCCGTTAATAAACGAGAGTCTGTGTATAACGGGTTGGACCCGTCAAAAAAAGTTCATACTTTCTATGACGGCTGAAACTATAACGAACTCAGAACCGTTATAAAAAAGTCTTTTACCCATTATAAAAACTTTTTTTTCTACTAGTATTTTTCATGGTTAAGATTGGCTACATACACATCCTGATAACGATAAGATGATATTATTTTGTTATAAAAACTATTTTTTCTACTAGTGTCTTTCATGGTTAAGATTGACTACATACACATCATGATAACGATAATATGATATTATTTTGTTTTAATAGTTGATTATTCATGTAATAATTTTAGTTAGAATGTAGATAAAAGTTATTAGCTGCTATTAAACAGAATAAACTTTTACATGAAATAAATTTCAAATGACAGGTTATGCCTCTGAACAAAAATACTTATTTTTGACTAAAGATCATAGCAGATTGTGAAAGCCACAGCAGTAGGGGGTCTATCTGGAGAGTTATCGTTGCTGTCATGACGTGGAAGAAGGGAACACAATTATCTTCAAACATGTTGTCTTTGACATTTTTTGAAAATATTTTTTTACAAGGACATAAGTGAAAAATCACTTTATGCTATGGGAGGCCGACCAAGTTATGTAATCACCTTATAGTGGTAGAATAGGAAATTTAAAAAAATAAAATTAAAAGAAATTATCCTGCGAGTGTTTTGCTATAGTCATGCGATTATAATTGGCTAATAGTAGCAGATTCGTTCGCATAGCAAGAATAATTATTTAAAATATACTGAATTTAAATATAATCGACGATGGACCGTCGATCGTATAATTTATCGCATATTATGTTAACATTTGTTGGGGGAAAAAAAGTTATTTATTAGTGAGCTGCGTAATAAAATTTAATATATCTAAAAGTGAAAAGGACTACTTTCATTGTTCAAAAAAAAATATCCAGTGAAGGTTTCGGTATATGGACCATGACATATAATATTCTTAATTTTAATATTTATAACCATTTATTTGTAGATTCTGCGGCGGACATCACAATCAGAAATGATTGTTTGCCAGAAAATCAAGCTCTTGCAGGAAAATTCAGTGATTTTAAGACCTCCAAATTTTAAACCATATGGGTTTATACAGCCTTACTAGGAGAGAAATGCAGGTGGTCTGCAAGAAGAACAAAATCCCAGATAACATCACTAAAGTGGCTATGGCTGAAGCTCTCCAAGCTCTCAAGATGGTTGAAGTTAGTGATGAATTTATGCATACATCCCATCCTATTTGTGCTCACATTGCAACAAACTACCACGGAATCTAATTCAGATTGCACTGATCATTTGGATACTCCAGTGCAGCTTATATGTGTTGGTCTACAATCTGTTCCAATATAAATAGCTGTTGTAAGTTGCAAACAGTTACACTTGTGCCACACCCATATTTAAAAATAGGTTCTGTTTCTTTACGATGAA